ACTGATGATCTGCGCCTGCAATTGGTCCGCACTGGGCATTCCTAAGACACGGCACCAGATGTGTGCACCTATGGGAAACATAGCGATGTGCAGTAGCAAGTATTCTTGTGTGTGGGCAGTGCCTGCTACTGTGCCAGCTCTTGCATTCCAATCGTCCTGTTTGCTAAGGGATGGCCCATACACATGTGCTTCCTTTTTGCAAGCTAGCAGTACGTCCCAATCTTCATCAAGTTCTCCTCCACCCAACCCAGTGCACTGAACGTCCAGGGACCCTGGGTCAGCGTCATTGAGTTGCCAGGAGGTGTTATCCATGACAGTGATTTTCCAATCAGTGTATTTGGGGTCTGTATGGCTAGCAAGAACTTCATTGATGGCTAGTTCTGCGTTGCTAGGGTCAATTTCCAGTCGTCGTTGCAGCGCTTCCAGCAGAGGGAGGATTGGGGCAGTGGGGAGCTGGAGGCTCGCATGTTGACCGCAGAAGACACAGGCAGGCTCGCAAGCCTTGGGCCAGGGTGTATGGTCATTGCTGCTGTTGGGGGCTTCCACTGGTGTCCAAAGGCTCTGGAGAAGCAACACCTGCGTCTTGGTAAGGCTTCTGTTTTGCGGGACATGCGGCTTGGCGACTATCTTACTCCCTCTAACAAAGTCGCAGCCTGTGGGGTGTGTCCATAACGGTGGTGCCTCGTCGACTCCTATGAGCGACACAGCAAGCGGTTGCAGCCCTTTGCTTAGCCACTGTTGGAGTTGGTGTCCTAGGCCGACTTTACTCCCATGGAAGGCGTGCACTATTGGCGGCAGGCTATACCCTATGGTTAACTCCTTGCTTTGGAACAATTTGTCTCCTGGAAGACAGATTATGGGGAAGTCGGCTGGGAAAACTGACATAGGGGAGAGTGCACCTTGCTCGAAAATAGGGCGCGCCCAGGTAAGAAATGGCGGGGTCCGCTCGACAAAGTCCGGTCTAAGGTATCGGCCATCTCCATGACGCGGCCATTCTCCTTGCTCCGGGATGGGGAATGCAATGGCTCCCGCCCATTCGCCCAACATCGCCCACGCATGTGTCCAGTCAAGCGGGGTTCTGGCCTTACATCCTAGTAGGGTGGTGAGAAGTAGCCCGCCCCTCATTGCTTCCGCAGGGTCTTCTGGCACAGCGGTTGTAGCTAGGAAACTGGCGCGGCTATCGTGGAGTGCGGTGACCCAGTCATCTGCTGATCTGCGGTTGGCAGGGTGGGCTATTCGTCGTGCCTTTGGGGCGGGTGCATCACTCGGAGAGGAGCTTTGGGCAGCAGCCGGTGGCATGAATGCTGTCGGGGTTGCTTGGTCCATTTCAACATCAGCTGCCTCGGTCGGGATATGCCCTGTCACTATGATCAAGCCGGCATTGAGTTCAGCCTTGGCTTCTGTGGCAAGAAGTACTGCTGGAGGGCACTGGTTAGAGCTGGCCATTGTGTTGTGTTGCATTGCTTCGGCTCTGCTTGCCTTATCTGTCATAAGGTTGATTAGTTCGGCTATCTCAAACAATGAGGTCGGCACGCAGTCAGAGTCGATGAGTGCAAAATTTACAGTGGGGAACATTAAGCACAGCGCCTCCAGAGCTGCGGCACCAGCCCAGGTATAATGGACCTGATGCAAACCTGTGTCAGCATGAATGGGAAAATGGATAGCAGTCGTTTTCTCTTGGTAGAGGCCAGTTACTGTACATCGGCCTTTGATCCAGGGTGCAAAATGCGGCCAGTAGGCTGGAGGATCAGTGCCTGACAGGTTGCGGTTGTCCACATAAACATAGACGGTGGCATACTGTGGCAACCATGAGAGATTATCTATGATCCACTGGAAAAGCGTTCTATGATGGACCTGGCTGGCTGCAGGGCGTCGGACGCCGTTCCCTTCGTCCACCATGAGCGCAGGGTATGTCAGGGGTGACCGGGGCATTCGACAAGAGCCGACATCAGCCCATTTCCACCTTTGTTTGATATCGTCCATGCCGAGCGGGGTCTCAATTTCTTTTTCCGAGAGGAAGAGTTCGTCAAGCTGGTGGCTTAATTGTGTGACCTCCTGTACATTGAAGAAGTCTATAGGTGCGACAATTTCCCACCGTTCCCTTGGGGGAGGCTCGGCCCCTTGTTGGAAATACGGAGCGTCATCTTCTGTTTCGAGGGCGTCAAAGTATTCTGTATGGGATTAATTAATCACGCAGGGGCCGAAGCTGTAGTGGCCGCAAAAGTAAACTGGTAGAGGACCGATACATAGTCCTATTCCCTTGTCACGTTCGTCAGAGAACAAGAAACGAAGCACAAAGAACCAAAAGCAACAACAACACCAAAAACAAAACCAAACAAAAACAACACACACAAAAGGCAAACAACCACACAACCACAAAGCAGTGACGTGACAGTTCCAGTTTATGGGTGAAAAAGATCTATTGAGGCAAGAGGTGATAGCTTAGTATCATCTCGACGCATGCAGATGACAACTTATGTGCCATGTTGTTTCCGTAGCCCTTTGGCTCAAGGCCGTATCGGCTCAAACCCCGTGGGACTGGGTAACCTAATTTTAACTCAAGGGGCAAACATCCATCTTGGGTGATTTGCGTGAGTTAATTTTGGGGGCACCAGTATAAAGGGGCTAGGGTGGTACTGCCGTAGGAAGAGCACAAAGGTGCCCGTCAACCTGTTTTTGTTTAGAAGTGAATTTGGGAGGGGGGGGTTTATCTTAGTTTTGTGTTTAAGATCTACCTTCTCGTTTTTGACTTACTTGCATTGTGTCCGTTGAACACACCTGTTTTGAACCCCACTTGTTTAAGGACTCCTGGGGTACCCAGTGTAGTTCTTTTACTTGTGATCTTGTTGGTTTGATTCACAAGGCTCACTGGGGTACTCAGTGTAGTCTTTTTAGTTCTTGTTATCGTCTTGCTCAGCCCAGGTTGCCCCTCTGGCCTGCCTCTGTGTAGTCACTGTACCCAGGGGTACTCTGGGTTATAGTCGACAACATGAACTGCAACCCTCATGACACTATTGAACAGCATGCCATTGAGTTGGTGTCGAGTCTTGGGAAAGAACATCTTTTTGTTGCGAACTGTCCCAGTGATATTGATTCGAACAGATATTCAGGCACGGTGATCACTTATGAAGAAGCCTTTGATCACAGTGATACAGGAGTCGGCCTCTGCCTATTGCTCCCCAAAGCTTATGTCCTTCAGAAATTCATAGACATATGCCTTAACAAAGATATATCTGTTCATTTTGTCTTCACTTGTTCAAACAGTACCAGCGAATTTGAAGCTTCTGCATGGCTGTACAACCTTCTCAATGACAAAGTTCAGCATGTCGGCTTTATGCAAAATCTTGGAGTTACCTTTTGCTCCGCAAATAACCAAGAGAAATATCTCATTGCATGCCAGGTTGAACCGTATGCCGAACACTGCCATGTTTCTTGGTCTCGACCCTGCAGAACGCTGGAGTATGTCTTTCCCAGAACTGTTGTTGAACGACACCAGACGATCAGTGAACTTCAGAGCCTTTCTGCTGTTAACTATATTGACTTCAGAAGACCCAATGGATGCCATCGCATATCAGATAAGATTGATGTTACCTCACTCACTGTCCAAATTGCCAATGATTGCCTGGCAGACATCGAGCTTGTTGAGAAAATCATTCAGCCAACTGTTGATGCCGCTTGGTCGCATGGACTTGCAGAGTGTCAGGTTAAGCATTTCTTTCCATGGAATGACTCAGAGTTCCAAAAGCATTTTCCACATGGAATCACTATGTCAGTATTGGATTTGAAGGCTTTTCCGAACACCGTGCTCAATGAGATTCTTGTCCAACTAGCCAACCTTAAAGTGAGGTACCATTTCATGAATTACAGAAGACTTGCCATCTTTGGGCCGCCGTCACTGGTCATTAACCTCCACTTAGCCCTTCTTCCATTTGACGTGCATTTACCTATTGGGCCTAAACAGGGTGCTTTCACTGTCCACATGCTGCGATCAGAGCCACATTGCACACAGACCGCCCATGATTATAATCATTTTCAAGTCAAATTTGGCAAGATTGGTTATCAAACCAAAGCTCACCTCTACCTTTACGCTCGCGTCCCTGGTTGCGCGTTGCTTACAAAACAAAAATTTAAACTTAAAATATATATATATACAAACACTCAAGTAAGTATACATATATATATATCAAAATAAACAACGTGAATTCGACACGGAGGAATGCACATCGTGAAAGTGATTGCACGGCTGACTTCTTGAAAAATTCACTGTGTAACTTTTTCTCTCACCTTTAGGTAATTGGGGAGTCGGCACGCTTTCGTGTTATGCGTAAGACATCTTTATATCTCACGCCCGGAGAGGGTTGGGAGGGCGGGTTGAAACTCCGGGTAGTGAGAACTTTTATCCCACCCACCCTCCCTTGAAATTTAAAAACGCGGTGAACGACTGATCATAACATTCCAAATGAGAAAACTCACAGCACACTGAAGTTGGACATGTTGAAGGTTCAAGACCGCAAATTTCAAAAACAACTTCAAACCACAGAAGATTCAAGTTGTTTAAAAAGGAGGTTTCAGAAGTCAATCTTCCTGAAACTTCGAAACGCGAACGCGGAGGAGAAGACGCAGCACGCGCAAGGAAGAGGACGGTGGCACACCACCTGTGAGCAAGGTTTTATAAAGGCTCATCACTAAAGTGAGACGCAGCTTATCAAACCAAAGCTCACCTCTACCTTTACGCTCGCGTCCCTGGTTGCGCGTTGCTTACAAAACAAAAATTTAAACTTAAAATATATATATATATACAAACACTCAAGTAAGTATACATATATATATATATATCAAAATAAACAACGTGAATTCGACAAGGAGGAATGCACATCGTGAAAGTGATTGCACGGCTGACTTCTTGAAAAATTCACACTGTAACTTTTTCTCTCACCTTTAGGTAATTGGGGAGTCGGCACGCTTTCGTGTTATGCGTAAGACATCTTTATATCTCACGCCTTGCCACCCCATTTCACCCGCTCGTGAGATTGTAACATGGTGCGCATCTTTTGAAGCCTTGACTTTCAAGTTCCTTGAAAACAAGTCGTGACGGGTCGTCACTAAGATTGGATCGGGATGGTACTCTGGAGTACCAATGTAGGCACTGAAGTTCTGTATCCAATCGAGCATTAATCACAAGCATCTCAAAGTTGTCGAGTACTGGAGAGTACGATCTGATGATCGCCGCAAGAGAAGAGTTGTTATCGATGAACCAAAGGATTGAACGTCCCTTCAAAAAATCTTTCCAAGTGTTCTTCGCGATGATCACCGGGAAGAGCTCAGCTTGACAAATCAACTGTTTGCGTCCCTCAGACTTCCATTTCGAGGTCCATTCATGGGGGATCTCATCACCAAACATGAGCGCCAAATTCGATTCAGGATCAAACAACACTGCACCGTGTGTTACCAGAGCGCCCTCATTCTCGCAGGCACCATCTGTGAATAAAATGATGGGGACCCTTCCGGACCAAGCTTCCACCTGTCTTGGCTTCGAGTTAACTAAGCAGTGCATTGCTCTCACAATGACATGTTTAAGCTGTTCGTCAAGGAGTACCAAAGGACCTCTGCGAGCCACCCGAGATATCAGTTGAATTGCCAATTGAGTACATCTTCCAAACGTATGCCCTGCGGCATACAAGAGACGACCCTTGAGGGTCTCAAGAGTCGATATCGCCACTGTCTGGCTGTTGCAAATGCTGTTGACCAATTCTTGCAGGTCAGAAATCCTGGAAGGCTTGTTGTGTACCGATACCATTCCTTGCGTGGCGCCTGACAGATCAATCACAGCACCAAGAAGGTTGAACTCCTTCGCAAAGGGGCCACGTTTGTCTTCAGACATTGAAATCCTCCATCCCAAAAGGCGCATGACCAACTCTGCAGACTGCCATGCTGAATCGCACAAATCACTTCTTTCCAGTTGACAAAAATCATCAAAGAAATTTGTGTTGACTACGCAGAAAAGTTCAGATAAAATCAGTCTGAGGGCACGTGCCATGCGGTTAAATGCCATGACCGCACATATTGAACCAAAAGGCAGCGCACATGATTCGTAGTATTCCACCATTGAAGTCTCAAAATTCCAAACTGCCAAAATCGATGCCCAACTGTCATCGGGATGCCTTGCTAATTGCTTGTAGGCGCTCTTCAAATCTAGCGCCCTTCCCATGATGTCCGTCCAGGGACCTTTGAAGAAACGTACGGCCGGGTCACACCACAAATTTTCCAAGAGGTCATCCGCCATAAGAAAATCACATCCAATAAAAGTTCTTGCAGTGTTGACGACCTCGTCCAAGCCAAACAACTGAAGTTTCTCTGTAGAGGTGACCGAGGCGTTGATCAAAAATTCAGAAAAATCATCAACTGCTCTAATTTTTCCTCCCTGGCGTACTCCGAAACGTTTTGAAGGCACCCAACAACCATTATATTTCAAATCCAAATCCGTGGCCGAGAAAGGACCACGTACCCACCCATCCTTCAGTTGCTGTTGCGTCTCTTCAAACACAGCCTTCGCAATCTCAGGATCTGAACCGACCCTACGGCAAGAGGAGTGGATCATCTTCTTTGCCCAAACGGAAGACTCTCTGAGTTGTTGAACTGAGATCATCGCAGGTTTCAACTTCGCAGGAAATTGTTTTGACTGGGGCATCTCACCAGTCAACCTGAAACCTTCCGTTAACTCCTGAAAAAGAGTCTCATCGCCCACATTGGCGTCAGCGGCCATCTCCGTAAAAAGTAAAAGTCTCTTCCCTTCCAAAACTCGTCTTACGTCCACATCCAGCGTCTCCTTGAACCGAAATTCTTCCTCGCTCAATTGAGCGGCTCGTGACATGTACTTCTTGAGTTGCTTTGCTCTGAACTGTACAACCTCTGACGCAGTGTGGTCTCTTATAAATAAAATTGCTTTCAAATTGCATTTGTCCACATTGTGGGGAGTGTCAAGCGGATGCTCAAGGGTCATTGCTCTGTGCAGGAATTCGAAAGGAGACCTGAAAACTCCAAAGGTCGAGACCGCACGTGTTCTCTTCTCGCCCTCATCCCCCACTTCAGAAACTAATCGAGAAGAAATCAGCTTTGAATGGATAGGAATGCCCTGGAATGGGGGGTGCACTGATTCACTTATGTGGGAAGGAATGTCCACATCCTCGGAGGTCACGTCAATCTTGAACTTGAAGTCACTCAACAAAAGTGGTGCACGACCTCCACGCGGCTGCAAGCCTGAGCCCATGCGCTGGGCTTGTTCCATTTGGAGTGGTGTTTGGGCAATATCTTTGCCTTGCTGTAACAACCTATCCACAAAAGCTGATGCCAGTTGCTTGCAAAGTCCCGAAGGGTATTCAGTTTCGAGACTGGTCGAAAACTTGATCTCAGAAAACGCATTATCTTGTACAAGGCCCCAAGGCAAATGTTGATGCTTATCATCGCATTCCAGTAACAAATTTTGTGCATGAAAATTCAAAAGAAATGAAGTCCGCTTCTTCCGTTTGCCGCCGTACATACAGGAGTGCACATGTTGGAAACGGCAAACTGACGGCAAGTCATTGAAATAATCGGTGTTCCACATCAAAGACCGGCGTGGGTTCTCACAAATGACAGGGATGTTCATTGCCACGCACAAATCAATGACCCGTCTTGCAAATGAGTATAAGCGGTTTGCAGCCTGGACTTTGAGCTTGGCTACGCCTCTCAAATTTGGCAACCCCATTGGAAACTGCTCTGACCGCAAGGGGGCTGGTTGCATGCCTTTACGCAGGCGATGTCTTTTTGGTATCGGTATTTCTCTGGCTCGCGACGCTGTGCCGCAAGGAGGGGCAAGCATAACAGCGTCCACCCTTCCAGCTGATATCCAGCCCATTATGGTTTCCTGGCCATCCTTCTTCGTCAAATCGACCTTTGAGACAGGGCCTTTGACTCTCCGCTTGTCAATGATGTGATCAATGCCAAGTGCATCACCACCACACGCTCTAAAAGCTGCTGTCACACCTGCTGTACCGCAAAATAAATCTAAGAGAAAAAGCTGTTTTCCAGACTGCACTTCTGCATCTTTTAAACCTGCTTCTGCAAAAATCTCATGCTCCTTCGGAGGTGATTGTGTTGACTCTTTGTCACCAACACCACTAACAACGCTGTGCACTTCTGCAACTGGGCAACCCGTGACCAAGCGCTCTCGCTTTGCCACCGGTTCACTGGGACGACTGTCGTCCACTTTGACAGCGGCTGTGCCACGCTTTCGTGACGCAGCCACCGGTTGAACTTCTTCATTTATGCAAGCCTTAGGTGGGCTTGCCATCAGCTCACTTGATAGTCAAGCCCCTTGCTTGTGCGCAACCACAAACGCATGTCGTTTGTTGCAGCCTTTCTTGCAACACATGTGGAGCCCCTTCGGGCAATCTGAACTGCTAGCACATGTCCCAAGGTTGAACGCAAAACACAGAGGCTGACCTTCGTCATTGCAAGGAACACAACCGACCAACTTCTTGGGCATGGGTGTTCGTTTCAGCCGCTTTAGCTTCAACGAGTCCTGCTTTGTCTTGTTCGGCTCTGCTTTGTTCCGTTTCGATTCTGCATCGTTCGAGGGCTTGGATGGACCGTCTGTTGTGGGCTTTCCTGCAGCTCTTTTTGGCAATGGCATGAGCATCCATTTGAGCTCAGGTCCGTCCAAAATCCGTTTCACATGGATGTCCAGCGGAAGCTCACCAGCAGGCCCAGTCTTGAAGCCCCCTCTCGTAGCCTCTGCTAATCTCACATGCAATTCCCTATCTGCTGCAGCAACTTGTTGAAGGGTCACCTGTCCAAATCCCTCCATAGGATCCTTCTTGAGCTCAAAGAAAAAATAAATGATGATGGCCTCGTGCACCTCAAACGTCATTGCCTGTGCAATCTCATAGGCAACCCCTCGACGTCTCAAAGCGTTGTGGACGTCCAACTCCGTGTTCAATGAAGCCACAATAGATGGTTCCTTTGTAGTGGCCTTGATAGTTCCTGTGCTGTCAGTTTTCCAAATCTTCAGGTCGCCATCCTCTTTGATGTTATTGACTTCCTGGGTTCGAGAAGTGCAACGCGACCACTCAATGTACCTGACCCTGCCATCCTCCACACATTGCACCAATGAGTTGATCAGATGATGTGACGGCTCCATGAAGTTAGCCACAATCAATGGCCTGATTCGAGCCTGAAGCATCTCCATCCGCTGAGAGATCTCTGGTGCAGGTAACTTCCTGGGAGCTTCCTGCTCTGTGGAATCAACTTGGCGACGAAGTTCTGCTGATGTCAATGTGTGTGACTCGAAAAAGAGTCTACGCAGCTTGGGTGCAGCAATGTGGTCTGCCCCACCCAACAATGGGATTATGACCCCATCCAGAAAAGCCTGCTCGTCAGCACCCGGTTGAGTTGCAACAGCAAATGCGTAGGTTCCGTGACTGACCCAACCTTTCAATGCCATCGCAGCCACCACATCGTCAGGGACACCAATGCTCGCTGCTCTGGCTTCGAACACTGCAGTGCTGTCGACTAGGGACATGGCTGTCGCCACTACCACTCTACAAACTCCAATGCAAAACGGTGATGGGCAATGAACTGCTGTTGTCTCCTCTGACAAATTTAAAAAGGCCAGCTATCGCCGGTTGTGGCTGCAAATGAGTGAGTATGAAATAAACGGTTATACGAAAATTGAGGCACCTAAGGTCTTTCCTTTTCCAGTAACAGCTTTCTGTTCTGGAGCCTGTCCATGCAACGTCATGCATGGATCCATCATGACCCTGTGGTCATGGCTTGCAAGTGGATTTCATGACTCACAACATGACTGCTTTCAGTGACATGTTCATTCGTCAGGAATTCAAAAGGAAAGGAAAATCACAAGATTCACACGACAAATCACTGAATCATTTGCAAACTGATCTGAAATGGTTTCACTCTTTTGTGACACTTTGCGGACGGCGTCCTGTCAGCTCCAGGCTCCCAGCTCTGTACTGCCGCTCTGCCAGGTATTAGAGCTTGGGCTCTGTGCATGGTGAGTTTTGCAATCAAAAACATCACGCACTGCAAACTTGAAATCCGAGGTGACTGTTTGAAACATTTTGTACTAGTATAGTACCAATGGTCCACCCAAAACCCTCCCAGCTAGAGCCGATACTATTTATTAGCATTCTAGCACGCTTCACTACGCTCGCGGTAAAGATATATCTATATATGTATAAAAACTCATCTTGAGTGTAAACTCATCTCTCACCTTTATTTCAAAAATTCTCACAAATCTCAAAAATATACCAAACAACTCCAAAAACCGAAAAACATCACAAGCAAGGACATCACTGCCGTTTCGTTTCGTTTGTTTTGCCGACGGGAGATGCACAACGCCATATATCATATTTTTTTTCCGCTTTGATTATTTCTCAAAGTGTCGGTGTTCCCAAATCCATTTCCTTCGGGAAAAACTGCTTCTCACCAAATTTCCGGGTGAGTTTCCGAGCAAGTTACGGTTTCCCCTACTTATCGGGTTTGGGTGGGTGGGACACTTTGGTCTCCAACCCAATTTGATCCACTTACTGGCAACCATAAATACAGAATTCATTCTGATTTCTCTGCCAGTAAAATTGTTGATATGTTCAAGTATTCTTTATAACCGGTTTCATCATCAAAATGAAACGACATTACAAAAAAGAAAATGTTCCAATGCTTTCCCAAAGCATTCTGAAAGAATTTGCACATCCGAGGTAAAGGAAAAATCTTGAAATAAGTTCAGGTGATCACAGGATTCACTGAAGGTTTCCTTTTACCAGTTAAGTTGGTTTCAAGTTTTGTCAAAACTTCCGAGAAACCAGAACAACACCGCGAGAGAGAAGGAAGTACCGCGTAACAAGTCGCATAAGCCGATACGACTAACAAACGCTAAAGTGTAAGGGTAAAAGAGTTTGGACCTACCGATTTTAAACCGGATGCATCCCCTTGGATAGCATCAAATCTAGTGTACTAACTAATACACTATCGCAACAAGTCGCGAGTGCGTACTAGTATAGTACCAATGGTCCACCCAAAACCCTCCCAGCTAGAGCCGATACTATTTATTAGCATTCTAGCACGCTTCACTACGCTCGCGGTAAAGATATATCTATATATGTATAAAAACTCATCTTGAGTGTAAACTCATCTCTCACCTTTATTTCAAAAATTCTCACAAATCTCAAAAATATACCAAACAACTCCAAAAACCGAAAAACATCACAAGCAAGGACATCACTGCCGTTTCGTTTCGTTTGTTTTGCCGACGGGAGATGCACAACGCCATATATCATATTTTTTTTCCGCTTTGATTATTTCTCAAAGTGTCGGTGTTCCCAAATCCATTTCCTTCGGGAAAAACTGCTTCTCACCAAATTTCCGGGTGAGTTTCCGAGCAAGTTACGGTTTCCCCTTGTTTAACGAGGGAAGTCACCAGGGATCAAGCTTCTTCCGTTTCTTGTTTTTGACCGGCTTCGGATCTGTCACTTTACGTTTTCTTTCCTCCGCCAGTTCCATGTGAAACTCCTGTGCTTTGGCCATTAGCCCATCCAACACTAGCCACCGGGTGTCTCCTCCGACAAACTGAACACGGCTATCAAGGGAAAAGTGTTTGAAGTCCTGATTTGTCAAGTCATCTGCAAGCTGATTCCGCTCTCTCGGAATCCATTCCAAGTGAAGTTCACATCCCCGGGTTCTCAAGGTTTCCGACAACTCCATTATTAGAATTGTTAAAGGATACTTCGTGCTCATCCACTTGCTAACTGCATATGAGTTAGAGAGATTGTCCGTGCCTGCCTTGATCCAGCAGGTACCCCTGGCACCCTTTCTCAATCCTTTAGCCCACAAGCGCGTTGCCACCAAAGTTGCTAACAACTCCAAAGATGCTATGACCCTCTTCGGATCCTTTCGAATGAAAAGCCATGGTGCCCAACTTTCAAGCACCTCCTCAGAGAACCACTCAATTATGCTACCGTCCTGTGATTGAAGAAACCCCCCAATCCAAGCGCCATGTTCTGTAGCTTTAGCATCTGTAAAAAAAGTCACGTCCGCCCTATCTATCGTACGAAGAGGAGCTGGTTCTTGTAAACTGCCCCCATCTCCCGTACGTTCCGCTAGAAACCAAAGAATAGTGCGTAGCATTGCCGGTATCCGCAAGATACCTCTTTTGTTTCTGACGGCTGATGTCCAAGCGTAAAGAGGTCCTAGGAAAGGACGTTCCCAAGTCAGCGCGTTTGCAGCGAAACCTAGTCGGCCCAGGCCTTGCTCCATCTCTTTTGATGTAGTCCTTCCTGAGACTGCCATCTTTCTTGTCCAAGTTTCCATCCACGCAGACCTGCTAGGTGACAAGCCAAGGCGCATTGTAGTATAATCTGTAAAGAGTCCAATCCATTCCACTTTTAGCCCCCCTCTCTGCTTCGACCACTTGAAAGGAAAACCCATCGTTGAAAGATACAAGTAAGCTAAAACAATTCCTCTTCTGCCTTCCGGTCCAGCTCCCAAGGATTCAAGATCGTCAGCAAATATGAGCATTTCGATTGGTCGTTGAGGCCCAATTATCTCATGAGTGAGTCTGATTCCCGCTGCAGCAATCCTTCCCCACCAATAACTAGCTGAAGCCACTCCAAAGGTTCCAACCCGATTGATGAAGATGTGGTCGTCATTGCTTTTGACGCGGCATGCCAGTAATCCAAGTTCTGAAGGCTCATGCAAGAATCTCCTATGAGCTTTACTTATATCCCCAACAAGGCTGAAGACAATGTCACCCCTTGCTTTGTAGTAGGCCAAAAGATACATTTTCTCTCTAGCTCCAGGACTCCGTTGTTTGTCTCTGCAACGTATGCGGTTGTTTATTTTGGTGCCGTGTGTGGCGTCGTGGATGATTCTCTTTTTGTTCCCGTGGGCTTCTTCAACAAGAACAGCTAAAGAGGAGACCGCCACTTTGTCACCAAAGCGTTCTTTCGCCTGCTCCAGCGTCAACCTTTCCATGAGGCCCTCTTTGCATTCTTCCGCAAAATGCTCTCGAACAAAAATCTCATGATCCCCAACAGATTCGTAGTTGTCTCTCCAAATCTCTGACCTCATGTATGGGTCATCCTCCAACTTCCAAGACGTCTGCTCCTCGTACATATGTGGTGTACGGGGTAAAGGCTGTAGGACTCCTACAGGATACCCCTTCTCACCTTGAAGCAAGAATCTATGATCTGGATCTCCAGCTCTGTCCAAAAGCGCTTCCATTAACCTCAAGCGAAAGGGTTGCCCCTTGGCTATATCTGCAAGACCAGCGGTGTTGTAACCTTCCTGTTGCAGCCTGTTCCTCCACAGGTCCACCAGTCCATCTTTGAGTTCCTGATTTTGTACCAAGTTGCAGCCTGCTTCACCTTTTGCTGCCATCTCAAAACAAGTTCTGTCGAAATTCTGTTGCCCCCCACAAAATTGTAAAACCAGTTGGTATGAGTCACTCCTCAACCGTTTCCAAAAACCATCGTCATTCCATATGCGGTCTTCTATGTCCCATCTACCAGGTGAGGCCAAACCACATCCGTCGTGAAACATCCGTGATTTTCCAGGAACTTCGCACTTCCTTGCTTCTCCATGACCCCCATGTAGTTTCCAACCCTCTGGTTGTGATATTGGGTAACCTTTATCCAGTGATTTCTGTTTTTCCACACCACTTGCAGTTTCTCCCCCACCGTAGGCAGAAAGGGTGTGGAGTGTGGTCCATCGCTTTAGGATCTTTTGTGCAACCCACCTGCAAAAAGCACTTGGCCACTGTTCTGTACCCGCAGTTGTAAACTTTCCACCATATTGTCCAATAAGTTGCACTTCTGTTTGACGTCTCTTCAATGGACCCTGATAAAAACCTTGATCATCAAACTGAGGCATTCCCGGCGCCATGGTGTCCTTCTCCATCTCGAAGTCCTTCAGAAACAAACGTGTTGGCTTCAAATATGCAGTGCCAAAATCCGATTGGTAAAACGCACAAGTCTGAAATTTCCCTGAATCCAAGAGTTCTTGCACTGCTGGCCACTGCCACATGCTCGCCGGTCTTTGCCCCCTATAGTGGCCCGCTTGTACTGCTCCCAAATCCTCCGGATTCTCAAAAATGAGCATTGTATCCAAGTTTTGTACAGCTTTGCAGACTTGAAAAGAAAAATCAGTCATAGTATTTCCCCAGTTTGCCTTCTTCCGTTCTGTCCACGTAAGTCTTGTCAGACCCCTCAAATGCACGTAGGATCGCACAGGCCTTGGGCCCTTTCTATTTGAGAAAGTCGCCCTAGTGAAAGTTGAACACGGTGGGCTCAATATGATTGCCGCATAATACCCAGCTGAAATCTTGTTTAACAAATCACGCTGAACTGAATCCTTTGTTAAATCCAAATGTGGCCGCACCTTGATGTCCACCATGTCCACTTGTACCCTAACTCCCCACTTTGCGGCGAGTTTCGTTGCCCAGGACTTGACTGACCCCTTTCGGGGTGAACCTGAAAACAAGTAAAGAATCCTGCAAACCGCCAAATTCTGTGAAACCTCCTTGCATCCATGCTGTCCCTGTCAGGTGCCTGTGGTGTCAGGCTGAACCTTCTCTTTGCAATTCAACGCATTGTGCCCCTTTTTGTAACACTTGTTGCACATGTGGCTGAACTTGCACTTCTGATAGTTGCACTTGCCCGCATTAAATCTGAAACAGATCTTCTCTCCGTCTGGACCCTGACCTGAGCCCTTGTTAGAACCCTTTGACTTGCCCTTACTCTTTCCCTTTCCTTTTGGGTTCCATGTCCCTTGATTTGGGCTACTGTTTCCCTGTGGATAAGCCCTCTTTGAGTACAGTGCAAGTGGGGTTATAAAATGCCTTTCTTTTGTTGTTGGGCATTTCCAGGCCTTCTCCAAAGCAGCACCCAGCATCAACTTCTCCGTGGTCATGAGGTTGTATGCCCTTTTTCGAATTGATTGCTCATAGGCCAAGACCAAGCTCCAAGGCGGCGTCTGGATCTGTTGACCCTGTAAGTCTGTTGAACTCAAGCCCCAAACGTAATCACCAAGCAAATAGTCTTTGTACTTGTCAAAAACATCCTTGCTAACATCCTGGATTTCTTCACGATTAACATGTTTGAGTGCCAACATCATCAGGCAGTTCTGCATCACGCTGAGGCGTCGACGTAGCTGTTCTGGTCCAGTTGGCATTGGCACTTGAGAGCTGCCCTTTTTCACAGAAAGACTTCCTTTGCTATCGAAAATGGGAACCAAGACATCAGGGTCAATTTCATCTTTGGAGACTACCTCTGCTAAGGTCTCTGCTCTGAACTCTCCATTCTCTAACTCTTGCAACTTCTTCTCCAAATACTCCTTTGCTGGAGTCACTCTGTCCTCAATATGTCCAATCGTCTTCTGGAAAAAATTCTAAGCTGCACATAGTCCCCAACAGGAATCGGTTTTGTCCACTCACGTGAATCCATCTCTGCCTCCACTTCCGCCTGCCGCTTCGCCTTCGTGATCGTCTCCTTCCAACTGCAAATGACTGAGGCCACCTGCGCCCTATCTGACAAAGAAGCATTCGCATCAATGTTGAAATCATCTCTCAAGACCTGTATCAGATCTTCTTCACTGCGGAAAAAGGATGAAAACTTGTTCACATTTGTAACACCGTTCTCAAAGAAATGCGCTTGAACTTCATCTGGAACATCGTTGCGACTCAGTGTAAAACGTAGATCTGAACTTCCAAGCTTCAACGCATCTCCAAGGGCCCTAGGCCCCACTAACAGTCCAGCCATCCACGCATACGCAGGTGAAAAATACGATAGTTCAAACGCATTCAACAAGTTTCAAAAGAACCTGTTTATCCAAACTTGTGAAGCAAAACCAACGTTGTGTAAAGAATCTGACTATTTCCCCGTGCTTAACATGCCAACAGAAAGTTTATATCGCCTCAAGCATCCATGTCTCCTCTTCAAACAGAGGTCACCGCTGGAGCCCACAAACCGGGAATCTGCGGATTCCATTATTACCTTTTCCGGTCTCAATCCACTGAGACTGTTTGGCCCTACCGTGCAAAAGGGTAAAATGAGCAAATGACCGGCCAGGATTCAATGTTCCGATCCTGACTGCTCCATGTTCCGACCCTCTGCAATTGTTGCATTCATGTTTTTCACCTATTGGCATGTTATCAGCACAACCAACTACTGCTCGTTTTGAGCCCACATGTGAAACGTGAAACCTGACAGAGTGAAAAAGCCTACCATACTGGCATCCCGAGTTCCAGAATCAGAAGGAATATGCCCTCCAATCGTCTGCCCTTCTCCATGCTCTTGAACTCAGCTGCTGGAATCACTCGAACTTGAAGAGGAACCTGTATCAGATGATGTCTCACCCGACGACTCTTCATCCTGCTTCTCTTTTGGCCAGCATACCCTACAAACATGCGTGAACTCGGTATCTGTTGGGCGTTCTTCAAATTCCACTGACTGTTTGAAAATTCTCTCCCTCGCCATCCAGCAGCCACCACTCGCTTTGTGAAGTCTCTTGCAGTTCTTTCCAGTTGTAACTACTATGAACCCTTTGGTCCTGCTTGTCTTTCTGTCATCCGTTGCACCCTCGTCCAACGGTTCCTCCAGCACCTCCGTCTGTTCTGTATCGCACTGTTCTCCTAATGGCACTTCTGCAACATCATGGATTGCAAAGGAATCCATGGACGCCATAAGCTGTGAAACCAACTCTGCCCTCTCTGCATCAACTATCTCCGTCTTCCTATTTCTCAACCACGCATCTGCACTCTCTGCCACGTCAATTTCATCCAAGAGACGGAATCTATCAGGTTTTCTCATGGCTTTGCCATACAGCCCCTGAAGTTGAGCTACCAGTCCATTATAAGATCTGATATAGGTATCACTTGCTTCCGGCTTCCACCTACCAACCAAATCCCTCTTTGAGGTCTCAACTCCAAGCATTGCCAACGCTGTCGGCATCGTCGCTCTCTCGCTGTGCTCTGTCCAGAAAGATGCAAGTTCTTCCGGAAAAATTGCATTGAAGTCATAATAACTCGGCAGAATCTTTCTCAAATGACATGCATATGAAGAGACGTCCTGATATGTTGCATACTTCATCTGAAAACCTGCCCAGTTCTCCATGAACTTCGGAAGCAAATAATCACGCTCAAAGTTTGCATGCTGTTTGAGAAGTCGAAAACCAGTTTCAATCCAAGAAACATCCCAAACATATGCTTTCTCCGAAATGCAAACTGGAAGTTCCTGTACTCTCTTCCCAGGACCTGAGGTCTTGGTGACCCTTAGCGTCGTCGTCAGCCTGCCCCCTGTGAGTTGCAAATCTGCTGGCTTTATCTTCTGCATATCATCAAAACGCAAAGCTCCCCAAATCTTAAGCAGCTTGACCCATGCCATGATCCTCAAACATACTGTTCTTTCTGTATCCAGCACCAAAGCCTCTAGGGATTCGACCGCCACTGCAGGATACCTTGGAGCCCTTCTGACAGGGGGTGTATCTGCAGCAAGTTTCTCTGTGATATAATCACGGATCTGACAAACTGCTCTTGACGTTGAAACGATGGATGCCTCTCCAAAACCTGCTGTCTTCTCAAACCATGACACAGCCTTGCAGATGAAAATGGGGACTGTTGCACCACAGGGTTCATCAAAACGACTGAAGAGGTACTCACAAAACATGCCAGGATGGACATAAGCTTCCTCTCCCCATGTAAGGTTCTTCCAAGACTGCCAATCCCTCCATGCCTTGATGTACCTCTTGAGTGTACTAGATCTCGTCTTACCAGCTATGGCCACATGTAAGCGCTCCTGGTTGACACATACCTCCATGCCCTTCAGGATGGGTGCATCAACACGCAAAAGCTCTTTGTACAATTCTTTGGACCATCTATCTTTGTGGGATTCTTCATGATTTTTCTTTGCTGTCGACTGTTCCACCTTGCACCTCTGCCTTGCACTCAGCGGAGTCCAACGCTGGTCAACTGTCAGAGTTCCTGTCAAACCAGTCGAACCTGAAGAAGAACGAATTGAATTAAACTTTGACTGCATGTGACTTCCTACCAGCAATGGATCCTGTGAATGCTCACCACGCAAACGCTTGCAAAAAGGCTCCGACTGTGAAGTGGACTGCAACCAGCCTAAAATAACTTCCTCATGTAGACTCTCACAGATCAAGCCCAAACTCTCGCAAACCTGCTGTGCAATAAGTGGAGCTTCTTCCGGTTTAAAAACAGACAGCTTCTTATGATCCATACCATGTTTCTGCAAAACGTCCCACATCAACTTCTCTAAATGATTTCTCTCCATTGGTCCTCCCTCCATAGGGAACACTAGTGTTCCATGGCCACAGCCGCACCGAGTAAGACACTTTGGTCTCCAACCCAATTTGATCCACTTACTGGCAACCATAAATACAGAATTCATTCTGATTTCTCTGCCAGTAAAATTGTTGATATGTTCAAGTATTCTTTATAACCGGTTTCATCATCAAAATGAAACGACATTACAAAAAAGAAAATGTTCCAATGCTTTCCCAAAGCATTCTGAAAGAATTTGCACATCCGAGGTAAAGGAAAAATCTTGAAATAAGTTCAGGTGATCACAGGATTCACTGAAGGTTTCCTTTTACCAGTTAAGTTGGTTTCAAGTTTTGTCAAAACTTCCGAGAAACCAGAACAACACCGCGAGAGAGAAGGAAGTACCGCGTAACAAGTCGCATAAGCCGATACGACTAACAAACGCTAAAGTGTAAGGGTAAAAGAGTTTGGACCTACCGATTTTAAACCGGATGCATCCCCTTGGATAGCATCAAATCTAGTGTACTAACTAATACACTATCGCAACAAGTCGCGAGTGCGAAAGACAACAAAAATGTTAGTTGTAACTGTCATTGTCTGAGCTCTGTGCACCTGACGCATTCCCTACTGCTGGTTGCTTGGAGCAGCTCCCTCTGGGGTTCACTTTGCAGGGCATGCAACTCTCGACATGTGACATGACCAGTTTCAACATTGTAAACACTTGACATGACATGAGAGACACATCGTGGGCATGAACATGCATAAACTGAGTTCCGAGCACCTTGAACTGCTGCACTCAAGTAACAGTGAAACTCGTGGTGCCCAAAATCACTTCTGACCAAAGAACTCACGCAATGCAAAAACAGTTTGAAATAAAATCAAGAAACATCAACCGCCAGTGAAGCACCTTGAGCATTTATACGGCAGGAAATTGCCTGCCAAACGCACCTTCTCAAAATTCTTAGTTGCCAGCTTCCCGCACTTCAGCTGGATAGCTTCGCCATCATCAGGGTCAGTGTTGGCGTTTCGTGCAATGTGGCAACAACCGCTGAGGATATGTCTAAACACTTCAGTGTCAATGTTCCGCTCTAAGGCCACAGCAAGCTCTTCACCTACTATCGGTGCGGCCACTTCTGCCTCGCGCTCCTCGTCGGAAGAGACGAAATCCCTACCAAGCAGTGGTTTCTCACTCAATTCACTGATGGAAGAAAATGACTCAACACCAGATTGACTGCCATCAGAACGAGAAGGAGAGTAGGGTTCAGACGGCGGTCCAGGGAAGTCTATGCCTTCCTGTATATCATCAGTCTGACTCAGGTCAGGTTCCAAGGCTGAACTCTGATTCTGATACCAAAATTCTTCAGCATCAATGTTTGCAAGAAAATGCATGACAGCTTGTAAAGATTTGCAACCCTTTCGAGGCCAACGCTTAGCTCTGGACGAGTCTGGATCGAAAAGACCTTGATCGATCGCAGCTGCTGCTGCATCCATTGCCATCAGTACAGGAGCCTGTGCATCTCTGCTGTACTCCAATGCCATCTTCGCAGATGGGTCAGTGTGATACCCAGCCAATCGTCTCAGGTCCCCATCGCATCCAGCTTTTGCTAAAATACTGAGCCAGGTCGCCTTCAAGGAATGCGTCCCTATATCCATAGGGTTCGACATTGGAGCAAAGCCCCTCAACAGCTCACGCAACCAGGTCGTTGCTTGACTCGGTTCCAGCGGTATTTGAGCCCAGCCCCCTCCTGAGAGGGGGGCTGGCATTGTCGGCAATCCCGGCCCTGCGACCAGACCTTGATCACGTCGACGCCATAGCCAAGGTGTAGCCCAGTTCACGCCAGAAAGGCCTGGCAAATTGCAAGCTGCTGGCAAAAGCCTCTTTGCATGTTTCTGCCGTCCTGCATTCTTGTGGTGATATAACTGACGCTCCAGATAGCCCTTACCATCGTGCAAATCTGTAAATGGCTCAGTTTGACAATACTGCCCATCTGACCACCTCAGTCTCATGTGGAGGATCATGCACACGTATCCACAGAAGACTGCCTCAGGTCCTGTTCCAGAAATGGCAACATGCTCCAGAAAACGTACCTGTGAGATGGTCAGCGGGGTCTTCTTCTTCGGAATGACTAAAGGGGCTGTTGCTGCACCTTTCACTCTTGACGACCTCAAGGTGTTCCCAACATCAGCTCCTAGCAAATGGTGTGCAAACGAAACAGCTTCCAGGAATCGTGTCGCCCTGGTACGAGGTGCATTGTGTTCCCTGAGTCTCGCACATAAGTATATGCCTGCATTTCCGTGATTGGAAAGATTGAAGCATCTGGAGTTAAACCTTTTCTCCATCGACCATAAGTCAACAACGACGACGACCTGGCCCTTAAAGTCGAGATTGATTTGCCAGAGAGTACATCTGAAATGATCTTCTCAACTGACTGTGACTGAGGGTCTCCAGCAAGTGCCTCTTCAATTTGTCTGCCAACC